CAAATACTTAATAAGCCTTTTACATTTTTCAATAAATTTTTATTAAATCTTCAATAGATACCAAAAAAATGAATAGTAATTAGTAAATATTCTGATTTGAAACAATGTACAATACACTTATTTTTTCTTTCCCCTTAGGGTCTGGAACCCAGAGGTTTGATCGAACCCAACGCTTGGGCTCCTTGGAACCCGACGCTGGGTTCATTGAACCTCGGCTGGGGTTTCCTTGGAACCCGACTTTGGGTTCGGATGAACCCAGGCATGGGGTTCCAAGGAACCCGGTTTTGGGTTTGGATGAACCCAACGTCGGGTTCCAAGGAACCCAAGGCTTCTTACAGTGGTGTAGCGACAAGGCTTTCGGGTTCTTGCTGGAGGGGTTTCACCGTGGATGAAGGTGCAGAGTTTGGGATGATGGTGCGATAAGGGTGGTGGCACTGCTGAGAGTGCTGCGACGGTGCGGCAATGAGGATGATGGTGCGACGAGGCTTCTCACAGTTTGGACCTGGAATGCAAAATTTCAGATGGTTGCTATTGCTGTTTAAAGGGAATGAGTGGGCTAGTTCCTTGGAACCCAACGCTGGGTTCATCCAACCCAGGGTCGGGGTTCCTTGGAACCCGATGAACCCAGGCGTTGGGTTCTTCGACAAAAAAAAAAAAAAAAAAAAAAATTCTGTGTTTTTATGGGTGTTGTTCGACGATGATGATGAACTGATTGATGAAGAAGAATTCAAACTCGGCGCCAGGTTCATCGGCAAAAAATAAAAAAAAAATTTCTATGTTTTTGTGGTGTTGTTTGATGATGATGAACTAATTGATGAAGAAGCAGAATTGATTGATGAAGAAGCAGAATTGATTGATGAAGAAGGCGAGCAAAGGAAGAGAAAAGAGAAAAGGAGATACGAAGGAGAAAGAATTTTTAAAATTTTTATTGCGAAATCATTATTTTTTTCGCTAGCTGGCTTTCCACGGGAACATAATGTTTTGACGTGTACATTAGGTTTCTATTAATCAACGGATATGTGGGATGTGGGTAGATTTTTAATGGAAAGACCAAATTTGAGTAAAAATAATAAATAATAGGAATCAAATTAAAGATTTTTTTGAGTTTAGAAATCAAATCAAGAGTTTGTATAATAGTTTAGAAACTAAATAAAGTTTTAACCTATATTTCAATAATTGAATCAAAACAAATATCAATAAATAAAGTATATATCGACCATTTTCTTAAAAAACACCCAATTAGCCTTTTAAAATTTTCAATAAATTCTAAAAAATACTCAATAGGTCTTGATCATCGCTATGACATTGAAAACATTTTGGGTATCATTAACCTATCTTGCTTTTCAGGATTTAGTTCTTCTGGTTCTAACATCTGGAAGAGGTCCTGGTATAATTCCACGTAACCCGCACCCTCCTGAACCTGAAGGATTTGACAGCAATGCAGATTCTGGCCCTAGCCAAACTCCACAGTTACGGTTACCAGCATTAAAGAAATGGAAGTTAATGGGATCACTGTGAAGATCAAGTATTGTGATACCTGCATGTCTTATAGACCTCCTCGCTGCTCTCACTGTTCAATATGCAACAATTGTGTTGAACGATTTGATCATCACTGTCCTTGGGTTGGGCAATGTATTGGACTGGTATGGGATAATTTATTCATTTGTTTAGATTTATGTCTTGTTTTAGGCTTATTGTTCAACATCTAAAGGTCACAGGGCCCACTTCCCTCTCCCCCACCTCCCCTCCATCCCCAACCAAAAAAAGAACTAAATAAGAGATGGGAGAAAGGAGGATTGAAAGGTGGGAAGAGAACAAGTCTCCTCTGTATTTACTCTCTTTGTGTGTCTCTTTATCTCTCTAAGCTAGATGTTTTGTTCCCTGATTACAGTTCTCCTATTGGTGTTGGGATGTGACAATGAGTTTTTAGTTGCAAATTTCTCAACTTATTGAAATAGGGATATGTAAATAGATTCTATAAAGTTACACACTCCGTTATATTATTGACGATTTTCATTATTTGTATTATTAACATTGATAATTTTTATTATTTATGATATTAAAATTGATGATTTTTATTATTTATACCATTAACGATTATCATTATACATTCGAAGATTTTCATAACAAAATGTGTAATTTTACACGGTAAATATATTATTGTCCACACTGAAATATCATCTAAAATTAGAGGAAGAAAGACGGTTAGAATTTCAGAAGTCATCTCTGCTGGCATGATACTTAAAACATGTGCATTTGATTTATGGTATTTCTGGATGCAGCGAAACTATCGGTTCTTCTTCATGTTTGTCTTCTCAACAACTCTTCTCTGTATATATGTTTTTGCTTTCTGCTGGGTCTACATCAGAAGGATCATGGACTCAGAGGAGTCAACAATTTGGAAAGCGATGATCAAAACCCCTGCCTCCATAGTACTGTTAGTCTATACTTTCATAGCAATGTGGTTTGTCGGTGGTCTGACTGCAGAACAGCTCCTGCAGCAGCTCACGGACAGTAGATGCACCTGAAACCAACGTCAACAAGTGAGCTTCTGACTGAAACAAGTACTTGAACTTCTGAAAGAGATACAATAGCAATAGCTGTGCCACTTCAAAGTGCCATAAATCTTCCCTACCATACCAAAATTTTTCTTTAGTGCAATGTTGAACAATTGAATAAATTGCTTGCATAATTCTCACACAAAAATTCTTCAGAACAACATAAATGGATCTCATTTAAGAGCCAA